TTCCAAATGAAGTCAACTAAGGTGAACTTCTGAACGTCTACTTCTGATACTCCGGTAATGATGTCCTGGATTCATACACGATACACAAGCCCTCATATTCTGAATGTTACTTGCTTTCCTGGATTATTTTAATTTTACAATTTTTCGGTTAGGCAGAACCTGGAAACCAGTTTTAAAATAACATATTACTCATTTACACCATGACTGTTGTAATATACAGAGATCACTGATGCCCTTAGGTAAGCTGATCATAATATCTGTACTGTTAACTACATAAAATCCCCAAACATTTTGAGCAGTTCTTGCGAAACACAAGCATGGGGCCCTATTCCTGCAGTGGTCGTGACCCATGCCTCGCTTTAATGGTCATTACCCTGTCTAACTAGGCCCCAGTTGTGAAAGGGTATACCCTTGTTTATATGGAAATGATTATTCATTATACCGAGTCATGACTCCATGGATATATTTTGTCCCCCGAGTCATGGCTGATCAGCTCTGCGTGGGTATGACTGTCGGCAAGTCACGATCACAAGAATTCCCCTCACTTCAATATTGCGCAACACCCTCTACATGTGTAGTGTTTTGTATATGTGTGTCAAGGGCACATTTACACCCGGTTAGACATGGGAATTGCCAGTCTCTTTTTGTACAATGTCTATCCCAATCTTCCATCCCGTACACCCCCATGCCATAGCAGGACAATACAGGTGTGCTTTGTCAGTCGAGGAGTTATTCCACCTCACTCGTCTGTGCTGTTACAGGTTTTATACACTTGTGCTCAGTCACACACCTGGGAAAGAAGGCCCAGAACACGTACGAAGTTGTTTTAAGTAAATAACCTGACAATTTCTTTTTCAGTTCATAAGTTCAATTTACACTTGATTAAAAGAGTGTAAGTACCAACTACGACACACACACACCACTACTTCTTCACCATAATATGGCAGCCCTGTGTAAATAGGGATATGTTAATTTTATATCTCATATATCATATCAAGGGTGATGGGCACCGCCATGGTCATAACTTTCTACAACATGTTTTATTTACCTTACACAAATTACGGAATGGCAATAAATTTTATACTTGAGCTGCTTAATGTGGATATGAACTATGTAATGGTCAAGGTCACTGTGAACCGTAATCAAATCTGTTACTGAAATGCCATTTACTGCTGATAGCTTTAAGTGGTGTGAATTAATGGTCATATTATTTGCATTTATATATACAATCTCAACACCAGAAAATAATCTGTTTCCTTCAGATTCTATGGCACCTAAAATACAAAATAGTGATTAAAATAACAGGAATGGATCATTGGTAATCAGTTATGAGACCAAGTGTTTGCGAAAATGAAAAGCATCTTCTGCTCTACCGATATCACTCGCCACTAAAATGTTTATTGCTGAACGCCACACTTAGCAGTTCACCGCCATATGACAACTGATATCTACTGTAAATACAGAAACATAATAATACGCCAAATTATTGCAAGTATGAAATTACTGTGAGCAGCCCTGCCTATGAACTGAAATATACAACACATTAGCAAGTATGTCATCTGCTACCTTCACAAACTAACTTGCTTGAGATGTGATCTAACTTACAAACAGATCTTGAGCTTAATAACATTGTTTATTGTAAGTTTTGTTCCATGTGCCATTGTTTTCATCCTTGAGCAAAGAAGATGGCATGCAATACACCAATGTCCAGACCCAAGAGTGCCACTCATCAATGTGAGCAAGGAGCACCTACATGTTTCGCATTAATTTCATAGTATCTTATGTGTTGTATGAAAGGGAGGCAATCCTCCTGTTTCGTGAAATACCTGTAAATATTCACACTGACGGACATCCACTAAGAAATGCATGATGTTCACAGGAACTTAAGCAGTGTCCACTAGTATGATAAGATATGGTGCATACCATCTTTGGGGTGTTGCACTGAAATATTGCTTTGAAAAATCTCCATTGAAAGTCAAGGTAGCTGGTATGGTCATTTTTGGGGTAATTTTACCACTTTGTGCACAGAATATCAACAATGCTCATGACATCAGTAACTGGACTGTTGGATCATGACTATTTACATGTCACCATGACACACCAGAAATACTGATAACTGAAGGGAAAACATCATTATGTATAGTATTCCCAGAAATTACATTTCTACTGGGGTTTGTTAGACTCCAGCATAGCAATGTAACGAAAAATACAGAGCTTAAGTTTACCTAGACTGGAAATCGTGTGACAGCGTATCCCAATATTCAACCACTTCCTTCTTCATATCCTCAATATTTCTAAGTCATGTTTTGGTTTATTCTGTCCTTCATTAGTCCCCACACATTCTCAATAGGGTTAAGATCTGGGTTGTAGCTGGGCCAGTCTAAAACTTGAACATTTTCGTCTGACAACCACTGTTTTTTGTAGCCAGCAGTGTGTTTTTGGTCGTACAATGGTGAGAGAATTCCTCACTTTTTTACCTAGTTAAGTCTTTGTAATTCTTGTTTAAGGGTTTTATTACATACCTGAGGGCTTCCTCTATTAATCACCTCATTTCTGATATTCTCAACCCTTTTCAAGTTTCCCCTACTCACAATTTGACCAAGTCACCAGCGATCCATAGTAATGAATCTGACATGTCAACAAAGGAAGCCGTCTACTCTACCAGGTAGATAACTCTTGATGTAGTAAGGTTAATTCTTAAGAACACAAGAGTTGCCTACCTTGAGTACCTTACTACATAATGTAACACTTATTTTAAAATTCTATTATCAGTATTAGGAAACAAAGATTTTCTCAATAATTTCTGAGAAACTGTATTCCTGTCACTGTAAGCTTTTCAGTGATCAAGTATGACATATACAGATCTATACCCCCCAAAATGAAACACACTATCACAAATATTCTGGTTTATTGTTGGATTACAATACATAAACAAACTGATTACCATTATTACTATATCCCCCTCAAAAGAATTTAAACATGGTTCTTTGATATTACTAAAGTTAATCTGTCATGGCAAGCAATGTATCATGTAAAACCATGTGTCATGAAGTTCGTCTGATATGGACTTTGCCTTCAATTGATTATGACACCTTCATGACACTCAAAGACACTGAAATTCTGGACCAAACAAACTGAAAAACCTTTGTATCAGCGCCCAAAGTACAGTCCGAAATTTGACGAGTGGGGTGGCATATCTGTTAGGGGAAACGCCCCTCTGTGTATTTGAAAGGAATATGAACAGTGAGCGGTACACAGATATTCTTGAGGGACATTTACTTCCATCTGCTCACGTGTTCTATGGAAATTTTTTGATTTTCCAGCAGGACAACGACCAAAAACATCGTTCAAAGCATTCACAGGCCTGGTTTCGGACCCAAAATATGACATTATTAGATTGGCCAAGCTATAGCCCTGACCTAAATCCAATAGAAAATGTTTGGGGACTTATGAAGGAAAGTGTCAACACGAAAAATCGGACAAATATTGCTGAAATGAAAGAAGAGGTGATCCGATATTGGGACAGCATGGGCCCACGACTTTCTAACTTCTTTGATCAGTAGTATGCCCATACATTGAAGCCTGCATTGCTGCCCATGGTGACTTGACAAAGTACTAACTGTTCACCTGTCTTTGAATCTGGAGTTATGTTCTGCTAGTATTCAAATTAATCATTGAGTAATGAGTGAATTTAAAAAAAAATAATTACAATCTTTAAATTCTCAATAATTTCTGATTGTACGGTATCCTGGTATGACCTGAATCATCATTCATCACACTTGAGATGTATAAACAACATATGTCCTGGTATGACCTGAATCATCATTCACACATGAGATGTATAAACAACATATGTCCTGGTATGACCTGAATCATCATTCATCACACATGAGGTGTATAAACAACATATATCCTGGTATGACCTGAATCATCATTCATCACACATGAGATGTATAAACAACATATGTCCTGGTATGACCTGAATCATCATTCATCACACATGAGGTGTATAAACAACATATATCCTGGTATGACCTGAATCATCATTCATCACACATGAGATGTATAAACAACATATATCCTGCTATGACTTACACCATCATTCATCACACATGAGATGTATAAACAACATATATCCTGGTATGACCTGAATCATCATTCAGCACACATGAGGTGTATAAACAACATATGTCCTGGAATGACTTACACCATCATTTATCACACACGAGAGGTATAAACAACATATATCCTGGTATGACTTACAACATCATTCATCACACATGAGGTGTATAAACAACATATATCCTGGTATGACCTGAATCATCATTCATCACACAAAAGATGTATAAACAACATATATCCTGGTATGACCTGAATCATCATTTATCACACATGAGATGTATAAACAACATATATCCTGGTATATCTTACACCATCATTCATCACACACGAGATGTATAAACAACGTATGTCCTGGTGTGACCTGAATCATACAAACAGTCTGGCATGAAGTGAATCATTCATCACATGAGAAGTATAAACATAAACAACATACATCATATTATAACCTCTATCATCATTCATCACATATGAGATATAAAATTTAGGAAGAATGAAGAAAGGCCTCAAAGAGAACATTCAACAGTGTAAGTAAATCATACAATAAAATTCAACACAGGTAAAGGAAATAACAGCAACAGTGCAAGGCCTAGGCAAAGCTGAATGGACCATCTATTGACAAGTGAGTGAGTTGGGATTTCCGCTGCTTTCAGCAATATTCCAGCAATATCACAGCAGGGGACACCAGAAATGGGCTTCACACACTGTACCCATGTCGGGAATCGAACCCGGGCCTTCAGCGTAACGAAAGTGATAAGCTTTAACCACAAGACTACCCCACTCACCAAGGACCAAGTGAGAAACATCACCTTGTTTTTCTCAACCATGATGTAAAGGTTGTGGAAGGAGCTTACAAGTCAGTACAGCCTCCTCAGTTCCTTGCTAGTCTGCTAGCCCATGGCTTCTAAGTATGCTTAAGACATGTAAGAACCCACTGACTGTAGTCCTCACTGACTGGTAGAACTTGAGGCTTAAAATGTTCAGACATTTACTAAAGCCCCAATGTTGCTACAAATTGAAATTGAATAAAACTGACAGAATATTTAAACAACACATTGTTTTGTTCAAGCAGGACTTGCTACAAACTCTGAGGAATAATGACATTAGTCTCACAGATATACCCTTCTGAGGCTGCAGTATCTGAAGGAGCTTTCAATAGTTCTTCGTCAAGTCAAATGAACATACCCAACGATCTGTTCCATTCCACTTTGCTGATATCTACTGTGTACTTTGTACATACTGCAGAGTACTATCACAGGCTGTCTGTGATCCAGCAGTTCAAGTATTAAAAACAGCTCAATCATAATATCTGGCCCGAGGAGGAAGTCTTTCAGTGATTGAGGTAGCTGAAGTTCATTTATGGCTGTGAGCCCCTTAAGTGTGAGACAATGCCGTAAACTTCCTCTGCATAGTCGCTTCAGACTTTTGGGGTTGTACATCTCCTTGTAGAGCCAGTCTCGGAACACAGGGACGCGGTCACACAACACCTGGACGGCATCGCTGCTGAGTAGACTGTAGCTTCTGTCACGTCAGCCAACAGCAGCAGCTGAAGCACTCCGGAGCTTGCCTTGCATCACAGCATTCTCTAGTGGTGTTCTACCTGCAACATCCACAGGAGATTCATATGTATGATCTCCATAGGAACCTGTTAAAGTCCATGTTGTTAATACTCCGCACTCTGATGCAGCGGACCAACAAACCAACCAACTCATGCAACATCGTTTGAGTGAAGATGTTAGGACACCTCAATACAAGGTCACATAAACCGAAGAACACTGGAAGGTTTACTCTTTTCAATTAGATGTTTATAAAACTTACCAAATCTATCCTTCAGATCTGGGTGAGCACCGTTTTGAAGGAGGAACTTTGCAATATTTACACTCTGCCCATCATTGGTAGCCAGATGAAATGCTGTAATTTTAGAATCGTCAGCCTGGAACAGGTAGAAACGGATGGTTGAGGTGAATGTACATCGCTCTTAGCCACACCACAGCAAAGAAAAAAATGTCATCTAGGAGCTTTTATGTCACTGTTGAAGACAACCTTGTTTGAGGATCATATATTTGTTTCTCCAAGACCTTAGTAAAACCATAAAGTGGTTTGCAAGTACTACAAAATCAGAAGCAGACCCTTAAATACTTCATAGCATTTCATAAGTAGATATTTTTTTAATGGAAAAAATGATCCTGTAATCTGTTGAAATGAGCAAGGATTGACCGACCGAAGTGATAAAATTATGCACTCAAGCATTGTGAGTTTTCATGCAATGTTATGACACAATAATTTTCCTGTATCAACACAAAACATACAATATGTTTAAAATTATGCTTAGAAATTATGGGAGGGGGGTGGTGGGGGTGTCACTTATTTTGTACATAATAATTTGTACATTTTTTTTATTTATTTAATTATTATTATTATTTATTTTATTTATTTATTTTTTTTTGGGGGGGGGGGGATTCACATTGTACATGCTTCTCCATAAAATCAGCTTCACTCCCCCTAGCCATAAATAATGAATGGTCCCTAAGTACTCCATCTTGACCTTAGTATCATGATACCTATCATGAACTTGCTCTCCAGCTTCACCCTCGCAACATATGTTGCTACTCACTGCATTAACATCAGCCCGGCCTTTATCAACGCTTTGATCTTGTCCAGCTTCTTCAAGCTGACGGACAAACATGAGGGAGTTGCTCTTTCTGGGTTCTCTTGTTCACGCTACAGCCCGCTGGAGAAATAGTACAATATGGTGTCATGTGTGTTGTGTTAAGTAATATATGTGACATTGTATAAAAGTTAATGGCAGCAAAGGAATGAAGTGATAGTGAAAACATCAGCTGCAAGGAGTGATCAGAGTTATCTACCCCTGGTTGTAAACCTTCATGGCAGGAAGTTTCTAGAAAAGGGCTGTACCTATATAAGGGAGGTAAGAGAGCTATCTGAGGCCTTTTCCAACCTGACTTGTCTCTCATCTACTTGTCAAGTGGGGACTGGATTAATAACAATAATAACATTAAATATGTATAGCTCTCGTATCCAGTGATCTTCTAGGAGTTCTACATTGACTGGAGTCTATTCAAACACATCTTTCATGTACATGTATGTTCAGCTATTATTACCAAATAGCTACAAACTTCAAACACCATTCTGAATTCAAGCGTGAAGACATTCCAAAGTGCAGAGGCAATAATTCTAGAGGTTGTTACTTATCACTGCTGGCAATTACATGACCTTGACCTAACAATTTGTATGGCAATATAATTTATTGACAATTCTTGGGTGGTCATTTACATTTTAGGCTTATTATTAGCTTCTGATCAGGTCCAGATAAACTCCTGTACTCTGTTCATCCAACAAGGATGTCTACCAACGTCAGATCTTACTGCTAGCTTGTAAGCCCCGGGATAGTGGCAGTGTCACTTGGCTATCCGGATGTTGAAGGCCTTCTGTCTAATGGATCTTCACATTATACTAATTTCAACCAAAACATTTGTGTCAGAGAGACATTTTACTGAAACACATCCCTTATCATTTTTTCACATCACATTTCCAAGGTTTTACGCAATACAGAACAGAAGATCCAGTCCCCCAAAATGTACAGAATGGATGTAACACCTCAGCTGAAAATATTTCAGTTCCAGAATTCATCAAAGTGGAATTAAAATAGACTGTGTGTTCAACAAACTTAAAGTCGATGACTGTCAATTTTTCAAGAATGTTTGGCTCCTAAACATAACATATAAAATGAAATATCCACGTACCTTCCACAAGTCGGTTGACGACCTTGACACTGACCCTGGGCTGCATCATGGCATGTCCCAGTGCTGTTGTGCCCTTGATGTCTTCCAGCTCCAGATCTGCTCCCGCCCCAATCAGGGCATCCACCAGGTTCAGACGATTCAGGCACACTGCTTCGATGAGAGCACTACGCTTGCTGCTGGTCTGGCTATTCAAATCCACGCCTGGTGAAGTCAAATATAATGGAGTCTAATATCACGCTCAAGATTACGAGATCTCCAGCCACTTATATCCTATCTCTACTACAGGACAGGGTGAGTGAGTATGGTTTTATGCCGCTTTTAGCACTATTCTAGAAATATCATGGCGAGGGACACCAGAAATGGGCTTCACACATAGTACCCATGTGGGGAATCGAACCCGGGTCTTCGTCGTGACAAGTGAACGCTTCGACCACTAGGTTACCCCACCTTCCCTATGGATAGGGGTGAAATGATACACCAGTGCACTGTGACTTTCAACGCAACATTCAACACACAAGATGCTTTTTCTTTATCAACAGAAGGCGATATACTTGCTAAATTACTAACTGCTCGTTTCATAACACTCCCCATCACCTTTTAATTTCAAGTTGACAACTAAATAGCTGCAACAAACAAGCACCTACAGCTGACGTTCCCTTTGGAACCTACTCTGAAATGTTTGTAGTCAAAAGGTTCCCAAGCGATATGGCACCTCTATGACAGCAATATCGATGAGAGTGACGTTGTGATACAGATTCTTGCACTGTTGTGAAGCAGGAATGTGAAAACAGTACAAGAATCTGCATCGAATCATCTCACTCACGAAATATGAGAAGTTTTTATCCATAAAGTTTGTTCAATATTGTACTTCCAAACTTCGAAAATGCCACTCAATGAAGTTCTATGACCGCAGCCTGTAAACACTATAAATAAGTCTGGAGCACACTCAATTTGATATTGAAAGCAATGATCCATATGTAAGACTTGGGTAATTGCTGTTATTGCGTAACAATTACGTCTCACGGGAAAAGGGATGGGCAAGTGTGTCTATTGCGCGAAGTGCTCCAGTCAAAGATGACACAACACAAAAAGACAGTAATAATATATATTGAAATAAAAGTCTTGGTAACAGAGTTGCAAGTTCCGACTGCACAGTCCAGGTGAAACCTAAAAAACAAGTTGGCTTGTTGTCACCTCGACAGTGCAGGCAGAAAGAGCCATTGTGCAAATACAATTATGAAAATTAACAATAATCCGACTGATATGTAGGA